CCCCAAAACCCCAAAACCCCAAAACCCCAAAACCCCAAAATGTATGAGAAATTGATAAATTTAGAATGCCAACATAAACACTTAAACTTTAATGAATGTACGTATTTATCTATTATTTATGTACGAATATGAAGATACCCTTTATCAATGAAGCAATCAATTCAAGCTCTATATTCAAGGAATTTTTATCTCTTTAAAACTTCATCTTCCCCTTTAGAGTTAGTAACATACTGATATGAACTTAGAGTTTTAGTATCTTTAAGAGCTAAATCCTCAAGAATCTACCACCTGCCTGGAATTTTCTACCCATCCAACACCTTCTTAAGTTTTTCTCTATCACAACTAACTTCAAAGAATATCTTGTGAACTTCATCTATGTCTCTTTTATAGTTGTCAGCTATCTCCATTAAATCTTAAGCTAGCAATGCGAAAAAGGCTTCCTAGCCATTAGTTAAGTTAACTTGACGCTTTTCCTCACCGAATTTCTTGAAAACAAGAATCTATTCACTCTCTGCAGCGTCTAATAGTTCTTCTTAATTCATTATTAAATTTTGTGAATTTGTATTTTCTTTATCATTTGATTCATCCACCATGTCTTGATCCTCTTATTCTTTTGGAGCTCTTAACTTCTCCTGTTCAAGAATGTTAAAAACTTAGCCTAATGATTATCTAGTCTCTCCACCTTAGCCAAGGTCTCTGAGATTTAAAGCGACTACACCTCTGCCATTCGATTGCTTTCTATTTTGGCCAGCATTCCCAGAAGTGGTATTCAGACTATCGGTCACTTTAAAGTCTTACTATTGCTACATAAATTTATTGTAAGTTTTGGCAATCTTTGAATCAATAGCACCATTTCTATTATAGTGCTTTGGAGGAGCCATTCTAAGATATTCTCTTTCTTGTCTGGTAATATCGCTTGATTTGTTTGAAGGTTTAGGAATTTCAAAGAAAAAGTGAGAATATTTAGCACTATCAGCGATTACTCCCTTAAGATAAGCCTCTAGGCCTAGCTTTAATGATTTTTTGAGGAAGTTTCTCATTGATTCTCCAGTCCTACCTGGAATTATGCCTTTCTCTGATACCTCTTTCCAAAACGCTGCACTTTAACTTCTGTGCTTATTTTCTTTGCTTGATGCAATCTCATATATTTTGATTGCTTCAGTGATAGTATAGTTTTAAGATTTGTGTAGTTCGAGTCTCTTAATCTTAAGTTCATTTTCAGAGTTTACTGCGAATAAATGAGTTGTCTCATCCTCTAACTATCCTGACTTTATACTTTCAGTAAGCCAAATTGCGCTATAAATTTCCCCTTAGAAATACTCTTTGTGAGAAACTTCACAGTTAATTGGCCTGATTTGGTAGGTACTGCAATCGTGAATGTTTGAACATCTACCTCCATGCTTTTCAATCAGAGATGCCAAGATCTCCTTCTCCTCACATTCTGGAACATAAAAGAGCATTGAAACCTAGCCGATGTATGGCTGAGAAGTGACAAATATTTTTTTGTTATCTGCAGACATAATTTAGTATTTTTGCGCGATTTTTATTAATTTATTTTAGCGATCTGCTATTATTTAAAAATCAAAACTCCAGGGGTTTTGGGGTTTTGGGGTTTTGGGGTTTTGGGGTTTTGGGGTTTTGGG